ACGTAGCTTGGAGTAAATAATATCCCAGTCAACATAGGCTCCTATGAGATGCCGCTTGTTGTCTGGTGAGTCTTCGTACGCCGTACGACCGTGCAGCATGCGAAGATTGTTAAACACAAACACATCGCCCGCACGCGTCTTGAACTCCACAGCTTCAGCTTGGGCCAGTTGAAGAAACTTATCGTAGGCCTCGTACCACGACATGGCCTGGTCCAACGGCACAGTAAAGCGACTGTCGCGCTTAGTAGTGTTCTGATTGATTCGCGCAAACTGGCCATCAACGTCCAAGCAGATGACGGGCGCACGCCACAGGCTATGGAACGGTTTGCCCGCGTCGCCATCGTGTCCAATGTCGAACCAATTCACAGGAACAGTGCGCAACACCTCGTAATAGTCTGGATGCTCGCGACGCATCTTGTCGGCTATGAAGAATCCGTCGGTCATCATATTGGCTCCACCCGGTGACGACGATTGAACCAGTGTATGCAAAATATTGATGCCCGCCTTGTACTCATAGTAGGGCATGTCCGTGTGGAGCGGTAGCGGGGTCATCAGATACGCATAGTTCTTGGCATTGGGCTTCGACTTCACCTCAAACACATCCCTAGCACAGGCAACAAACAAATTGCAATTAGTTTAGAGAATATTGAATTTAAATGCAGAGTTTTACCCGTAGGTGGTGCGCTTTATATGGCCTATGCGTTCCGCCAGATGGCGTGCGACTTCCGTGTCGTGGGGCGCACCATGTAATAGCGCGAAGCCCTGGACGGCCAATGCCTCGAGCCAGTCGCGCAAAACTGAATCCTGCTTGAGCACATCGTCATAGGAAAACTCGCGTGTGACCTCGCCAAACTGTGACTTGCCCCACAGCTGAACCGGCGGCTTATAAACCTCATTCAGATATCGCTGCCTCGACTGCTGGCCAAAGTCGCGCTCCTGTAACCACTCCAAATCGTAGCTGGAGTTGTGCGCGTCCTCCCAGTTGACAATCAGCTGTTGGCTCTTCTCGTCGTAGTTCACGCGTTTCGCCTGAACGTGCAGCGGGCCGCGTTCCCAGTGGCTTTTGCGTGCTCTAGTCTCTGCATGGAAGCACTCCGGGCACTGACAATTGTCTCGCAGCCAAATGCTTGGGTACTTCAGCCTTTGTCCATCTGGCTGCGCCAGCTCCACGTATCGCTGCTCCAGCAGCTGGGCCGTAATGCCGCTGGCGTGCCGCTGAAATTGTCGATTTAGCAGCGGACCAATCAAATGCTTGCAACTCAGCATGTTGACAAATACTAAAGAGTGAACAATGAACCGGGAACAGCCGATGGGTGATAGTGTTCATCGCTTATCAACAAGTGTTGCTGCACGTGTAACCCGCTTATCGCTGCTCTTGAATTGCTTCGCTCTCTCCCTTATTGCCATCTGAGTCCGTTTGATTGCCCAGTTGTATTACATGGACAATCGCCTCAGCACGTTCCGGCCAGCACTCATTGCGTGTGTCAACATGAAACCGACGATTCGCACCGCACAGACCACACTCCATGTTCAACTGGGTTTTCTCATCTATGCTGACAGCGGATGCGGCGTCCTTTGAACTAATGGCGTTCGCATCTTTGTTGTGGCACTTGTTGCGCTTGCCACGCAACCGGCGATGGCGTCGTTTACTGGAAGTGTTTGTTGGCCTCACCACCTCTTTGGGAGTCGTCTGCTGTTGTTCCACCTCTAACGTGGTGTTGATGCCTGGCAGCAGCGGCAAGGAACAGCGCCTGCATAGCGTGCGTTTCAGTGCCGGTGATCTACCTCAAGAATGAAAATGTTATTATGTATACGTACACAATATTGACTCGGAACTCACATCTTAATCAACGCCTTGGTGCCCACGTTGCGGCAAAGCTTGCCATAATAAGCGGCCAGCGTGTTGTTGTTGCTATGCGCCATTAAATTGGAGGCCTGGTACAAGAAATTCATTCTGGAGCAAACGTGTTGCTGCGACAGAGATTTCCGATTACCCTTGTTGTTTCCCATGGCTGAATGTACTTTAATTCATATAACTTATGAACTGTTAATTTCCTGATTCAAAAGAAGCGAACTTAATATTTAACCTTAGGGCACACGAGACGATATTGGATATTCGAACTATTAATCGTGGTCACTTTCGATACATTGAGTAATCGATCAATAAGAGAATAATCGTCGAAATAAACTTTTAATATAAATTATATACAATGTTGAGTATCAATTAGTCTGAAGTGCAATTTATTGTAGGACTCATTTTTATAACAAGTAAACGGCCTACAAAATAATAAATACACAACTTAGAAACGCCTCCCAGAAATGGCAGCCCGCAATACGAAGTTGCCATTCACAGGGGTGCGCCGACACAGTAAACAGCTGTAAGTTTCCCGCCTTAATTCGATCCCGCAGCTGTGGGGCATGCAGTCCACAAAGACCTGAATGCGAAACTCTGTGCGAAAGAGCAACCAAAAGCTAATTCAGCAAAATGCAACGCGCAATAAAGGCCAACTAAGTGCCGTAAAAGCAACAGCAATAAAGTGAAACGACGCTTAGCACCGACGCGTAKCGCGATTCGGCCTTTTTAATTATTTATTTGTACAATTTGTTATTATTATTATTATTATTTTTTTTTGTGTCTGTACCGATCGATTTGTTACTAAAGCCCCGCGCTTTGGGGTATATTGTGCGCGCAGCAAACATGTTCATACAGGACTTGAAGAATGACTTTTACAGACAACTGATAGGCAAGCGTATTTTGATTATTGTCAACTATGACGTCGACGCGATCTGCGCCAGCAAAATTCTTCAGTCGCTCTTCAAATATGATCACATGCTCTACACTGTGGTGCCCATCATGGGCGTGACGGGATTGAAGCGCGCCTACTCGGAGCACCAGGGCGATGTTAAGTACGTGCTGCTGATCAATTGCGGCGGATGTGTAGACATTGTGGAGCTGCTGCAGCCAGCGGAAGATGTCACCTTCTACATCTGCGACTCCCATCGACCGCTGGACGTTTGCAATGTTTACAGCGATCGGCAAGTGTGCATTCTGGGCGATCCAGCTCTGGAGGAAAACATACCAGGATTCGAAAGCATATTTTACGATTCGGAGGGTGAGGATGGCGACGACGACGACGATGAGGATGAGGACGGGGGTGAGAATGGTGATAGCGGCGCAGGCGAATCTGATGACGGCAACGGCGACGGCGATAGCTCCGAGAGGGTACGCGCTCCCAAGCTCAGCCGCATGCAGAAACATGAGCAACGCATTCTGCGCCAGAGAGCCAGACGTCAATGGGAATCGGAGCGGGATCGCATCATGTTCGACTACACACAATTCAGCTACTACGGCCGATCGACGGCGCTTTACATCTTTGAGCTGGCCTGGAAGCTGTCCAAGGACAATATGGATCTGCTCTGGTGGGCGATAGTCGGCATCAGCGAGCAGCTGCTGCTGGGCAAGATCGAGAGCGCCGCCTATACACTCGAGCTAGAGAACATACAGTCGCACGTGTCGCGCCTCACCAACAAGACGAACGATCAGAACACAATGAGTGCATCGAAGATCAACTTCGAGAACGACTTGCACCTGGTGCTCTACAGACACTGGACGGTAACCGAGTCCATGCGGTAAGTATAGCTAGTAGAGAGTCATGAAATCCTCGATTGGACTTAAGTATTCCTTTGATTGCCAGCTACTCGCGCTATTCCGCTTGTAAGCTCAAGCTGTGGACCCTGAGGGGTGAGAAGCGTCTCCATGAGCTGCTGGTGGAGATGGGCCTGCCATTGGTGCATGCGCGGCAAACGTATAGCGCCATGGACCTGATCTTGCGCAAGGAGTTCTACTCTATGGTGGAGCAGCTGGCCGAAAAATATGGCATACCCGACATCGTCTATGGCACCTTTACGCTCAGCTATGGCTATCGCAGTCGGTATGCAGCGGCCGACTATGTCTACGCACTGCTGGCCATTCTGCAGTCGGTGAAGAAGCATAAGACGCCAGAGGATTGCTTTATGGAGGCATCGGACGCACTGTCGCGCCAGCACAAGCAGCTGCTCAACGTGGGCATTGACAATGCCAAGCTGCTGCATGCGGCCATCTTCCGGCAGGTGCAGAGCTGCCTGGAGGCGCATCAGGTACACTCGACTGGCTCCTTCTTTTACTATGTGCTGCAGGAGGAGCATGCGTTCTTCTCGTATCCCTATGCACTGGCGCTGCTGGCCAAATTCGTGCTGCATGGCCATGTGGCCACGACGAGGGTGCGTCAGGCTCCGGATCTGCCACTGATTGCCACCTGCCCACTGGATGCGTCGCAGGGCATGTGCCTGCTGGTGGGCATTGCGCCGGTGCGCGAGGATTCGCCAAAGAACTTCTTTGGCAAGGCTTTCGATCAGGCGGCGCAGAAGAGCAAGACTAACCTACTCCAGGATTTCTTTGAACCGTCCATTGTGCAACTGCGCCAGAGTGACTTGACCCGATTTCTAGATGCGTTGACCGTGCTTCTAACCTAGGCTCAAATGCCCACCCCACAAATATAGTCTAGTTTAGCCCCTAAGACAGTATATTCATCCAACGACCCTTAGGCAACCCCAGACCAGATCTAACTTAAGATAATCTAATTTATAAACAATTGTTTTCTTTTTTTTTTTTTTTACTAGCCTAGCAATTTTGTTCGACATTGCATTTAAGACTACTCATAGAAAATAATTATAAAAATGTACATCGATAAACTAATCAAGCGATTGTCAATAAGACTATGTAAACTATGTTAAGCCGACCTACAAATTGAATATATGGAAGTAGACTTAAGTTATGCGTTTGTGGCATCCGATTTGAAATTGTGTAAAACAGACAACAAATATATAATAATAATAGCACATGTGTTTACTATACAAATTGGGTGTTTTCTTATATGTATATGTGTATATGTATTGCTTGTGTCTCAGAGGAGATTTTCATCTCTTTCGCCTGGCAGTTACCCGAAAGTTATAACATTCATATAGAATACAAATATATTTATATAAAACATATATACATCAGTTATTTAACTAACTACTATCTCTCCATGGCCACTTGCTGCTCCAGGCACTGCAACGGTTCGCCATGCAGAATGCGCGCAGCTCCCAGGCAAGCCACATCGTCATAGAAGACAGCGTATTGACCAGGTGTGATGGCGCGAAGTGGTGCATCCAGCTGCACCTCGAAGGGTCGCAGCTGGCAGTCGACGAGAGGCTTGGTGTGCTGGAAGCGGAAGCGGCAACGCAGACTGCCTTCTGTGGCCAGCTGCTGCCGTGCCCGGCTGCACAGCCAATTGACTGCGTCAATGTGAATGCGGGAGCTGTGCAGCGCGGGATGCTCATGGCCGGCGGCTACGTAGATGATATTGCTGGCTGCATCTTTGCGGGCCACAAAGTACGGCTGGAGATAGGAACTGAGGCGACAGCGCTGACCCACGGTCCACTGGTGAACGCCCTCGTGGGTGCCCACAATGCGGCCACTATCGATGTCCACAAAGTTGCCTGGCTTGGAGGTAATGTACTATTTGCAGAGAATAGGAATTGTGAGTGGTTGATTGGGAACCATTTGAGTATATATTTACCTCCCGTATAAATGCCTTGAAGTCGCGCTTGCCCACAAAGCAGATGCCAGTGCTCTCACGCTTTTCGGCTAGCCGCTGCAGGCCGATGCGACGCGCTAATTCCTTTACGGCAGTCTTCTTCAGTCCGCCCAGCGGGAACATTGTGCGTCGGAGTGCCGCCTGTGCTATGCCGGCTAGAAAGAAGGTCTGATCCTTGAACGTGTCGGCGGGTATGAGCAGGCGAACATCTTCCGTCGTCTGGCTGCCGGCATGCTCCAGAAAGTCACCCAGACTATTGCGAGCATAATGGCCAGTGGCTATGGCATCGTATTGCAGCGTCTGAAGAGCGTGCTGATGGAACAGGTCGAATTTGATATGCTTGTTGCACAATATGTCCGGATTGGGTGTCAGGCCCTGTTGATAGTCGTCCAAGAACTGGCTAAATACCGATGTCCAGTATTGCTTCACATAATTGACCTGGCGTAATTCAATATTTAATCTCCGGCAAGCCCATTCCGCATCCTTTAAGTCCTGCTCGCCACTGCAACGACCGGCCTCGTCGTGCTCATCCCAGTTGCGCATAAATACGCCGAGCACATTAAACCCGCGCTCCTTGAGCAGATGGGCGCTGACTGCACTATCCACGCCCCCGGATATGCCCACCACAACATTGCGTATCATTATGAAACATCCAGCATTCCACCTGTTTATTTTACTCGCTCCAAACGTATTTTTACATTCGACTGTTTCTGTTTCGAGTGTGACCACGCTGGCCAAAGCAGTATTTTTCGGAGTCAATATGCCAACGACAATGCAGGCTAGTATTTTTTGTGATATTCCCGAATTGTTCTTAAATTTGAAAATGTATAGAAAACTATATTGATAAAATAATATAAACTTTAGTAATGCCATTTACTTACATCAATGAAACGCTTATTAGAAAATATAAATTTGTACTAATTATATTGTTTTGTAAATATGTTAATTATAAACCTGCAACTACTGATGTTGCTTTGTCATGTTAATGAGCTACATTCATAAATCTATCGCATGGACTGTTTTTATTCTGATTCGAAAGCAGTCAAAAATATTTTCGTTTGTGCTTTCCTCACGTATAAAGGATGCAAGCTTTGTTCTTTTTGGAACGCCCCATGTATATTTGTTAAATACCGTTACTTTTGGTATTCTTTTGCTTTGCACCGGGTGGTTACACTGCCGCAGGCTGTGGCTCCATATGCCGTATTTACAGTTAGTTCATTCGTCGTCTTTGTCGCGTTCGCCTGCAGCGAGATTCCGTGCAAAGTTTGATTTTGTGTGTTTTCAGAAGTTCAACGAGTTTCTGAGTTTTCGAAGTGCGTGCACATACATATGTAGATTATTAAAACACCTTGCCAAATATACATATATTTTTTTCGAGTGCTTGGGTATGTGATTGGTCGAAAGAATCGTGTGAAATACAAGTAGAGTGCGGCCCTATACTTGTAATTTGAACTTGCATATCTCTTATATTTAATGTTTGTAATTCCTTTTAGAGCGCCACTCGTACAGCTGTTGGTATCGTAAAGTTTGATTGACAGTTACCAGCGTATCAGCTGCATCGTGCATCAGTCAATACAAAAGGTAAGCTCAACTTTAAGCTTCTATCCAAAATCGTGTAAACAGAAATTGAGGTTATGGCCGAAACTGTTGATCAAGTCGAATGCAGTCAAATTCTTGTTTGAGGTTATGGTTGGCGCGCCTTAACGGGCATATTTAGAAATTCAAATTGAATCAACGAAATTTATGTGCTGAATTAAAGCTGATACTAAAAGTAAACAGGAAATGAAAGGGGTAAGCTTAAGCCTCAAGATCCAAATTTGAAAAGTTAAGATATCAAAGAGCTTGTGATTCTTTGGGCTTCATCTAAAAAATGTAATTATTTGCAAATCTTTGTAAATCTTTCGTTTTGCCCAGCTGCTGTCAAAACCAAACAAATCTTTTTTATTTTTTTATTGTCCTTTGCGTTTCCGTTTGCTTCCTTTCCTTCATTCTTAGAATATTGTCCTGAAAGGTAGTTAATAGCCAACAATGGTCGAAATAGCGGCCACAAAGGAAAATCTCTAATTAAAAAATAAACCCAAAATAAAATAAACAATTAACTCAAGGAATAACGGTAAGCTGAATTGTTAGGCCTTGCGTTAATTGTTAGACAAAAAGAAAAAAAAAAAAAAAGGAAAATGAAACTTTTGAAAGTTCCTTTCGTGAGCAGACAACATTGACTTGATTGGCTATCAAAGCAGGCTAAATAGCCCGCAGTACATTTGACTGAATTGATATAAAAGAAAAATAATATGAAGCATTTCATCATTTGGGCGCTGCTCTCTGGGCACTTTTCTTTCTATTTACTTTTAGTGCAATTCAACTTGTGCTTGAACTTTGCCAAGGCTCTCAAAAGGAGGCCACAGACATTTGTCAAGGTTTGCTCTATAGAAAAATATATTCTCTAGCTGGGTGTGTGTGGAGATACCTATATACGTATATGAACATGTGCATCGTATATAAATATGCCAAAATATTTGCAAGAAACCAAAGAGGGTGGGGGCGAGTGGGCGTGTTTTTTTTGGTGCAAATGCATAATAATAAATGGCTACAATTTGCAATGGAAACGGAAACAATTAGGAAATAGAAACAGCGAGCGGAAATGTGGGAGTGTCGAGTGGGGCGCGGAGATTGCAGAGATCGGGTTTATAGCGTATGTCAGTTGGTAATCTGTGCAGAGAGCTATGTGTGCCGAGGTGTGTAGGGTTCGGGAAATTGTTTTGGTCACAACAATTAAGCCAAACTGAAATGGACGTAACATTAATCAAGTGAGCAGGCCAGGAGGGCAAACGAAGCGTGGGTGTCTAGGTGCCAGGGTGCCAGGGTGCCAGGGTGTCAGGGTGCCAGTATGCCTGACTGCCTGGCTGTTCGGGTGCCCGGGTGTCCGGGTGCCAAGTGACAAATAGGCATAGCTGCAGGTCATGCAGCATAATGGCGGGTCGTTCTCAGTCGTCAGCTAAATGAAAACGGCGAGCGCAAGAAGAAGCGGAAACGGAAACGTGGTTAGCCCTACAAAAAAAAAAAAAAAAAAAAAGGAGAGGAAAATGAAAAAGTAAAAGTGAAAAAAAAGGAATGTAAGAGAGGATGCCAATCTGTTGTGCAGTAAGCGGCTTTGGGGCCACTTTGCGTGATTCATTTTGCAATTTGCAAGAGATAACAACATGAAGACTCTATTGCTGCTCACAGCGTTTTGGGAGCACCGAGGCCGGCACTCGACATCCTTTCGCCTGGCTGGCAACCTTTTTAAGCTGATTTCGTCTCCTTTGGCTTTTGCTGCGTCTTGACTTGCTAACGCATAAAAAAACATAAACTAAAATAAAAAATAAAACAAAGCAAAGCGAAGGCAAGCAACAACAGAAATAAATAAAAACAAAAACAAAGTGAAAACAATTTCCGCCAAAATTTACGAATGTTTTTGATTATGAAATGACGCACGTGGCGGTCGATTGGGGACTTGGGGCATTGCAGGGGAGCTGGGTATGGGGCTGGATATGGGGCTGGAACTGGGGCTTGCACTGTGCACTTGGCACACTGGGCGTGGTCGCACTTGAAACTTTGCCAACTCTTATTGTCGTTGTTGTTATTGTTATTGTTGTTGCTGTTGCTGTTGCTGTTTGTTGTCGTTTGTAGCTGCTACGCTTATTAAATTTGTTTGCTCTGTTTTTTTGGGGATGCTGCTGCTGCTCGTAAACCTGAAGGCAGCAACAGCAGCACCCACTCCACGTCTCATCCCAGTTCCACTCCGTCTCCTTCTCCACCTCCACCTCCACCTCCTGCTCAAAACTTTCAGCTCGGATCTTGATGTAAATGCTGTCCCAAAACACTGCCGGGAAATGCTTTCAACCTGAAAACAGGCGCTCGTTGCTTCAGTTTGTTGTTTTCTCATTTAATTTTTTACCTATATACATACATGTAGATATGTATGTCTGTATACGGAGAGCATGTCGTGTACCGTTAAGCTCTTTAGATTTGATTAAAGTTAATTGGCAGTCGGTCAAAGCCATTGACGTCGGGCGTCATATGACGAGCTTATGAACGCTAACTTTTTCCGCTCTCATATTATTAAATAAACTGGCACGTTCGGAACTTTTCAAATTCTTACAGCAATAATTACATAATTGCGAATGATTATAAATATTTTAGAATTTTTTAAAAAGTTAGAGTGGTTGTTAGAGCTTACAATGAAATTTCACTTTTAAAATTTTTAATGTATAATAATATCTACTTACACGTATAAATGCAGTAGAATCCAGTTATAATAGCTCCGCTTGTAGTCCGTACGTTTATTTCGACGACGAATTCTGGTCACCGGACAAATTTATATGAGCAAACTTATACGGTTATAGCGGGTTATTCCGGGCATCGCTATAACCGCATTTTACTCTATATACCATTTTAATGTATAACAGTATTACTTATTGTAATCTTTGGCATCCAATTTGATTATTCTCTTATCGTCATACCGCCTCTTTTCATATCCTGCCCTCTCCTCCCTCCTCTTACCAACATACGATTTCATGTCCTCCTCTTCTTTCTCCTGTCCGTTTCGTTTCGCTCACGTTGGCTAGCTTCTTATCTCTTGATTCTCTTATCACTGTTCCATTTTTCTCATCAGCTTTCGTCCCCTCAGAACTTTTACTTCCCTCTTATTTCCTCTCGTCTTCTCTCTTCACTTCTTTTCTTATCTCTTGTCCCGTTTCACTGCCACCCATCATGTTCCTTATGTCTCTTTCGTCTTCTCTCTAAGTGCAGCCGAAGTTACCTTAACACTTGTATTTGCTCTTTGTAATAACATTCGATTATTCAATCTAAAAAACAAAGAAACTAATTTAAAATTGTCTAGCTATGTACATTCACACACATGCAGGGTGTTTTGTAGTCAGGCAGAGCTGTTTGTTTTCAATTAAGATAAAAGTATCAAGAGAGAACTTGGTTATTCAAAACAAGTTTCAGCTTACGAAAATTTCACTTAGCCCAAATTGCAGTGCAACGAAAAAATCTGGAATGTTGCAGTGCACGCGTAAAGGCACACACACACACACACACAGACACTTACTGACGCACACACATATACACACACATACAAGTTGAGTATGCTGGCTGTCATTGGGCTGGGAAGCTGGCGAAAATGTAATTTAAATCATAAATATAATTTTTATTTAATGAATTGGATCATGCAGCAAGTTCCTTGAGCTGCCTGCTCATGTGTCTACGTGCTGTATGAAACACACACACACACATACATATAGCATCGCTGACGTGCAACAAATATTTTACATGACTGACTCAAAGACGGCAACAGAGAAGAAAATTGTTGTAGCAACAGCAACAGCAGCAGCAGCAACAGCAGCAGCAACAAAATGACTGCAAAACTTTTCACATAAGAAATTTTCACATCGTCCTTTGCCCCGGGCCGTCCCCTCAAAAAGCACTTTATCGCTACTGTTGGCATCATCAAGTTGATTAAGTGCATAACTTTGCATCGATGTTTGCTGCAAATATGAATAGTTTGGAATCTGTCAGAAAGTTTTGCCAATTGCAACTGGCACGGCCACGACGGCAAGCATTCATTTCGATGCTGATGGTCCCGATCGAGCTGTGCTGCTCTGGCTCTGGCTAATCCCGAGCTCGGCTTATGGTTGCTGCTGCTGCTGATTATGCAATACGGTAACTGTCAACTGTCGCCCCACCAGTGGCCATCGCTTCCAGCGCCCATCTCGCCATCTCACCATCTCACCATCTCGCCATCGCCATCGCCTGTGGCCTGTAAGCTGTCGCCTGTCCAGGTGAGGCGGCAGTGCAGCTATGCAGCAGGCAGCAGGCAGCAGGCAGTTACGTATACAAAAGCGCAAAAGCTGCAACACAATGGCCACCGGCGGGCTGAGAGTCAAGCGGGGGTGTGCTGCTGGAATTGCGGATGGCCTTGCATGTCCGTGTGGCATCCCGTCCCGCCGCCGCCGCTACCCGTGCACAATGTTGCACCCCCGTGTGCCACAATGTCGCCTGTCATTGTTTGGGCGTCGTTTGGGCACAAGAATAGCAGCAGGAGCAACAACAATAAAAATAACAGCGAGCACAACAAAAACGAATGCCATTCAGCAAAAATGAAAGAGAAACATACGAAAATTTTTGGCCAAGTGTAATCCAAGTGGGTAGCGCTACATCTGCCCCAAACAGCCAGCCAGTTCGTCCAGCAGCAAGGACATGACACGGTTAACGATAGCGGAAGCGGAATTGACGACTGGTCGACGGTGAGATGGTGAGACAGTGAGACGGTGCGACTATGCCCCAATTAGATTCTCTCTTCAATTACACAGATTCCATGCGAAATCGATAGACATTATGACTTGTTCGATAAATGAAAAGATATTTCTTGCATACAGTATGCAAATGAACTGTGTAGAGCTCTAACTGTGTAAAACAATAGCATGCTATTGTTGAATTTATCGATATTCGATCAATTGTATACTTATAACTGAGAGACTTTATCGACTCAACTCTAAATAACATTCAAATTTCTATGTATACATTACCCATTTTTCTTATATTCAATTATTAAATTGTATTTAAATTTCGGTATAAATTCGTTTGTATATCGATAATTTATCGATTATAATGTACTACTTATCTTTGTTTCTCAAAATTTCAATGTTTTACCTGAATTTTCACTTATTTAGCTTATTGAGAGTGATGTAGTCTTTCGATAAATTATCGACAACTGATCGATTTACTTTGCAAATATGAGAATGATTAAATTGAAATTGAATTGCTAAACATACATACTATATACATACATACATTATATAGAATACTATACTGACTTCTCTAGTGTGATTCTAGTTGACTTGATTGATTTTCAATTATCGATATTAATTCGTCATACTAATGCACTCACAGCTCGCACCTTGCACCGTGAATTGATTAATTGACCGAAATTTAAGCAAACTAGTGATAATTATGAGTGAGTGAGGTGTGACCTACAATTGAATTTATTGCATAGTAATTAAATCTCTGTGCTGATTGACGTCTCCCTCCATTACTCAGGCAGTGCTCAGGTGTGAGCACTACCTTCTCCTGCTGGTCACTAACTCCTGCTGCTGTCCATCTATGGTAAGTCAGTTGTGAGTTGCACCCAAAATGCATTCCTCACTCAATTTTGCTTTCCACCTCAAACTGTGCAATTTCTCTCGAAGCCGAAAGGGCAGGCAAACGGCCTTGCGGGCCACCCACTGCAACCATTGTGAATCAAAGGGCGGTGCTAAGCGGGCGGATGCAAATGACTGCACTTTGAGCTTTTCAGATTTGCATACATAAGATATGATTGAAATTGGTCGGCTGGGGCGAATGGGGCGGGCCGTAAATTACAGTTAACTGCAACCTAAGTGCTGTCAAACGTACTCTCCCCCTCTCACCTCTCCCTCTTCCCCTTTCTCCCTCTCTCTCTCTCTGTCTCTGCCCTCCCCAATCTCAGTATGAAATTCAGTCAGGCTCTAGGCATGCCGTATTGTGAATGTACTCTGCCTACTACACGGAGAATTCACTCCAAACTAAAATACTCACACAGAATAATACACACATTTTTGGCTGCACTGAAAAATATAAGGAAATTCTTTTAAATAGCTCCCACGAGAGCGCAAGAAAGCGGGTAGACACAGACAAAGGACAGGACGGATAGGAGAGTGCAAAGGTGATGTGAGAGGCATGGAGCAGAATGAGCCCCAAAACTGTGCCGAAACACTTCGGAGCATGCGGCAGCAGATCGCGCTGGCCAACGCACAGCAGATGCTGGGCAAGATAACGGTGAACTGCTTTAGGAAATGCATCGACAGGCCGGGCACATCGCTGGCCAGAGCCGAGGAGCGCTGCTTGGTGCAGTGCATGGATCGATTCATGGACTCCCTCAAGGTGGTCTCTCTCACCTACAGCAAGCGACTCATGCGAGAGACCAAGTAGAGCCCACAGCTGAGTCAACCCACCCACTACCCAATAGATTATTGACGCATGTAGACTTCAAGTGATGTTTTTTTATTCGCCACGCATGTTTGTGCACTGGATGTCCTCGAGCATGATTCGCTTTTGTTCTACTTACAAAAAAAATTACAAACAAATACATTACAAACATTAATTTTCAATTTCTTGGTTAGTCTTTGATTTTCATCCAATGCTTTTGGCCAAGAGCTATGTATATACTCAATGTAATCATCCCCTGGGACTTTTCCTTGCTCCCGAAACTGAGCAAACTGAGGATGCTATAGATGGCATATGATCACAAAAGGAAAACCCATATGTGCTGGAGATTACTTTAAAGGAATCACCTAAAAGATATTCATGAAGAAGTATATACTTAGAATATATACTTATCAGTGAGAGAAAGCCCGACTTTTTAGATTTAAATATGTAATTTCCAAAACCTTTGGATAATGTTTGGCACGGAAACTGAAAGGTTGCGAAAGGCAGTCAAAATAGAATTAGTCTATGGCATCAAGGCATACTTTATAAGGCTCACAATGTGCCCGATTCTCATTTCAATTGTTGAAGTTTCCATTATACATTATTCATATCCTTCATACCTTTATGCCCTTGCCTAACGACAAATCATGTCAAATGGATCTACTTCATGGCTTGTGTGTGGAATCTGGTGTTATGTACAAGTTTTTATTTTTGATTAAAAACTCAAGTATTATGTGCGGTTCTTTTATCAGATGTCACATGAATATCCTGATACGTTTGCAACGCGTAAAAGTCTGTTGTAAAGGAATATAAATGATATACGCATACATGTACATGTGTATGTATTTGGTGTGCGAGCGTGAAACCGTCAACAGTCGATTAGATTTAACATGTTAAATTTGTTGACATCCAAAGCCAACAAGTCGCCCTACATACACCCTTTTGATCTCTGAGATCTCGTTGGCCCCAGCCTCGTACTTCCCTTACCCCTCGCTTTTCACGCTGCTCCTCAACAAGTACGTACCAAAGCGAGCTGAGCTGAGCTGAGCTGAGCTGAGCTCTGCTGTGCTGGTGCGACAAATCTACTTGCCAGAAAAATTGTCAGTTTTGCAAAAGTGTAATAAAAGTGACTCGGATGCCACAAAAAGAAGGGACGACCACGTGTCTCTCTCTGTGTGTGGGCGGATGGTTTGTGTGTGTGTGTGCACAGCAAATAACGAGCAAGAAAATAAAACGCATGCAAATATGGCGATGAATACGTAAAATAGATGAGGCGCGCAAAATGCAAATCCACAGACAGCTACTACTACTGCGTGTGTGCGTGGAGTGTGTGAAAAATGAGAGTGTGTGTGTGTGCGTGTGTGCGTGTGTGATGACGTCAGCAAATAAAAGGCTTAAAGGCAACGCGAAGCAACCATAAAAGGGACAACAAGCTCAACAAACACACAGACAAACATTTAAATTTGAGCCACACACACACACACATTCAAAGACACGCTCACACAGACACGCACGCACTACATACATGACTACAAATGTGGCATATGCATATGCGTACATATGTCCTAACATATGTAAAGCCACCTCAACAGGAGCGAACACGTTCAATAGGCCCACTTGCCAGCATACCCTGTAATGAACCGAATTGGGGGACTGGGTTGTTGATTGGAATCGCCCCTCAAACCCTTTGACTTAAACCAAAGCAATCTCCCATAGAAGAACTTACTCTTGCATTCTGAATAAATTCCATTTCATTTCATTCACTTTTCCTTTTCATTACACTATGCAGGGTATCTCAGGGTCGCTCATACCCTCCTTCATTTACACATTCACAAAGTTTTTGTGTAGTTTCGCCATTTTCGTGTTGCCTTTTTGTAAGTCGTTTAAGCCACATTCGTGTCGAGCTGTAACTGCCTTTTTGGTCCTCTTTTGTTTTTTTTACTGTCCATCCCCAGCTCATGTCGACCGCACGAGCCGCCCCCTCCGTGCTTCCCCCCGATTCGCCATTTGTTGACTGCATTAAGTCAACATTTAAGTAAAATTTATTATAAATTAATGCCTCGTGCTTAGCTGGAAAAATGTTTGTTTGCCAGCAGAGCAGAAATTGTATCTCAATTCAAGTGTCTGGGGATTTATTAAGTTTATTGTCATTACGCAGGTTGAGCTGAGGTGGTAATACATATATATTTTTAGTATATACATGTCTGAGCATCCAAATTAATTTCATCTAAAGTTTTGTAATGAAAATGAATTCCAATTAGTTCTTATGGATTCAAAAGTTAAGTAACTTTTATGACTTCGCCCAAATAAATATTTTACACATATATATTAATGTTAAGTGATTTATGACAATGAAACCAACATTTTTGATTTCATATTTTCTTTTGGCAATCATAAAGTTTCCTCTTAAGAGGCAATCACTCGAAGTCGTTGAATTCGTAGTTGATTCATTCTCTTAAACTGTCCAAAAGAGCTGCCTCTTCAGACTACCTGAGCCATAACAGCAATGAAAACTTTCAAAGCCTCATTCATTAGGCTCAATGGCATCGCACAAGTGGGCAGGTGCAAAGAGACATCTCAATGGTGTATTGACGAAAGTTTGAAGCGTTTGGAGTCGACACCAAATCAAGTGCTAGGCGTGCCTCAAGTCAAACGACTGCCCGATAGCCGGGCTTATAAAGCCATAAGGACTGAAGCTGCCAGACGAACGTGTTGAGTCTGCTTTGCCCCATAAAGCCTTTCGGATCAAGTTGGTTTACCATGGCTCTGTTGCTCTGCCAATATTTAATATTTGTAATCACTATAGAAGCTAAAAAAAAATTAAAATTTGTTTTCATTTTTATATATTTGATTTTATTTTATTTATTTATTTTTTTTTTTCACCAACATATGTATATTCATTCATTCATTCAATATTCATTCATATATGTATAAAAAAAAACGTTTGAATTTTTTTTATTATTTTATTATAGATTAACAGTTTTCACGTATCAAGTGAGAACACTTTGGTGGATTGCAGAATTGTAATAAATTGATTTCAGTTTAAATTGCATTTGATTGGATTATGCCCAATTATGGGCCGCAAAATAAAAGTGTCAAAAGCTCTTGTTTAATTAAATAATAAACTCAATGCCAATCGAATGCACTCAATTATTTATAAAGGTCGTAATCCACATTGCATGTAATTTGATTTCGTTTGAATGTCAGATGACAGCCAATCCATTAGCTTATATTGTTATGCATTTAGTGTATCGGTTAGACTATTGTAGTAGTGTAGGCTTTAAGTAGTGTAGTGTAGGCTTGGTTTCTGTGTTATTATCCATGCAAAGAAGTTACTGAGGCCCGATTATAATGAGAGGTATCCATATGTACCTCTCTCTCTCTCTCTTTTATCTTGGGCAGTGTTTCGAATTAGAAAACTTTTCTTGACACTTTTCCGGATAATATAGCTGAAAATTTAGCATTTCCAAGTGCTAAAAGTTTGTCTTTACCACACACATAGGCCTAGTACACAAACACACAGCTCGATTCGCCTACTTAATGTTTGATATCCACTTTGATACTTCGTTTGGGAACTGGGCAGGCGAATCATTTGTTGTTGTGCGATGGAAATTCGGTTTTCAGATCTCGAAATAAACACATTGTAAACAGTGAAGTGAATTCAATTCGGACACAAAATTATACACAAATTTTTTAAATTCCGTAGAGAAGGCAACACTGAATTTCTTAGTTTCATTCACACTCTGAATTTAGGAATTGGGCAAAATTTTCTAGTGAAGTCATGTCCAGTGCGAATGTCAAGGGCGAAGCCTGTACGGCGTCCAGTCCTGTGCCACGAGCCAGCAATGTGCGAAAACTGATCCAAATGTTCGAGCAGCTAACCGTCTACGGTGTGCAGTCGGCGCCGCCACCTGTGCTCCGAGCTGAGCCGCCGCAACAGGCGCCGAGAACTGTGAAGACGCTCACCTTGCTGGTGAATGGACGACGCGTTGCTCAGACCAGGCATGAGAGTGTCGAGCAGACGAGATAAGGACTGGATGCGAGCCCGTGAAATGTTGCCATGTTCGAAATTTTAGTGATGACCTATTTTGTGTAGCAAAATCGATGTTCCGATAAACAATAAGCAACTGCGATGGAGCAAGGGATTTCTAATCGATCAGTGTAATCGATTGATCTCAGCCAGTCATAGACGTCGACCTGATGTGTTTGCTGTGTTGTAAGAAACAAACCTGAACCTGCGAATATTCAAAGTCAATCCCCAGTGTAAACTTAGTCCAGCTAAATGTCGTATCAATAAAAGTAAAGTCAAGGTAAAACCCAATAATCGATGTTCACAAAATAGATAAATACTTATAGGTTTTGACTACCTTGCTCAAATTATAATCGATATATGCGTAAATCGATAGTACTCTTGATTTATCGTAATCACATTGAGATTCAAGGTAGAAAAATTGATTGTACTATATTAAAATGTATCAATCGATGGTACTTTTAAATTTTTCGATTATATCGAAACTTATCGTTCAAGCTTAAGTGATTCGAACACTATTTTTTTTATCGATAATCTTTGTTTCACTTGACCGATAAGTGCCTGAGTGCAAAAACGTGAATAGCTCTTGCGACTCCGCTAACTGGCACTCAAAACTTTGCCCTTGAATGCCAATTGAAAGACGTTGTGTAACCAGAGTCCACTCAAGTGTCCCACTCGACTCTTTTGTGGTCGAATGCTGTTGCAAGTGCCGCACAATGCCCACGCTGATTGCACATTCAAGGCGCATTCACTCGATGCCTTTCTTCAGCCCGAGTTCGAGTTCGAGTTTGAGCTCGAGCTCTTGGTCTGGTCAGAAGTTTGGTCAGAACTTTTCAATTGGCTAATTGTTTGTGCATTCCGCTTGAATGAAATTCTTTGCCCAACGGACTTCCTTCCAACCGGATTTTTTGTCCGGCTGCCCAGACTGCTGCACGGACTGCCTCTGCTCTACATGGATATCTGCAGTTGAGATTACATCTT